TAATGTGTTGACCTCATACACTATTTTCTTTCTATCTTAAAGCGATGATGAGATGTAGCATGCCGATGCCCATGTCATGTAAGTAGTGTGAATGAGATTTAAACACATTTATGCATTTTTAGAAATGCAGTGTATGGATGGTGCCTTTTGTACCTTAGTTTCTTTTATTACCTAGTGTGTTCTTTTCCCTGTCTCTGCTTTGTGAAGCACCTGAGGTTGCCTTTTGGTACAAAATGTGCTATACAAATAAAATTGCTGTGCCTTCTTCTAAAAAATACATTTACTATTACTTTTATGTGTTGACCTCATACACTTATTTTCTTTCTATCTTAAAGCGATGAGCAATAGCATGCCGATGGCCATGTTTTGTAAGTAGTGTGAATGAGATTTAAACACATTTGTGTATTCTTATAAATGTAGTGTATGGATATACAGTAAACACTGATATAACTAGTTCTCATGAAATGTGTTGACCTCATACACTTATTTTTTTTTTCTACTTTTTTTTCAATCTTAAAGTGACAGTGAGCAATAGCATGCCGATGGCCAAGTCACGTAAGTAGTGTGAATAAGATTTAAACACATTTGTGTATTCTTATAAATGTTAGGAAAGAAAGTCACTTTCGGCTTTTAAAGTGATGGGGTTTGCGAGTCGCAACGTGGCAAAGGCCGGGTCATGTGAATGATAGTGTGCTGAATGAGCTGTGCTGTGAATGAGATTCTTTTACCTGTCTGTGTTTTGTGAAGCACTTGAGGTTGCCTTTTGGTACAAAATGTGTTATACAAATAAAAATGCTTTGCCTTCTTCTAAAGATTACTGTTACTATTGCTTTTAATTTATAGAGAGTCAGCATTTCTGTGCTCACAATGCTTTTGTGTGTGTATGTGTTCCATTGTTCACATGCATGCGTGTTTGTAGGTAGAATATTGCACTAATGTGATATTTTGAATATTTGAACAGCATTGTTGTGTACTTTTAACACTAAGTCATTGTATTAAGTCAGAAACCAGTAGTTTTTTTTGCTAGTTGTCATGTAATGTGTTGACCTCATACACTCTTTTTTTCTATCTTAAAGGGATGTTTGGATTCTTTGGCGGAAATAAGACAAGTAAGTAATGTGAATAAGATCTAAACACATTTGTGTATTCTTATAAAT